CTTTCTACAGAGATTGCATCATGCTGAGTAGCACCAGGTGATGACTCTTAGCCAACTCTCTATATAAGTGCACTGAGACTCAATGCGTGTGTGGGGTGATGAAGATAGTGGGCTGGAGAGAGTTGTCAGTAGGAATGTTGAGAGGAGTCATGAGGAGAGTTTGTACATACTTGTAAATATTATTATTGCAACTTATGATAAAGAACCTCCAAAGACTTGGAAGAATATCAACAGTGTCTGTGAATTTATGGTCAGTGCACTGCCAATACTTAAACAGAACTGATACTTCCGTACTCTGCTACTGTTAGCTACTTCTGAGAGTGTTTACCTCAGACAGCGTTGTAAGTTGGCATCTCTGGTGGGCCTACAGTTTTGTTTTTGTTACTGCACATCAGCTGGACATAGGAGAATACCACACAGAGGCTTTACTATGATTAAAATGTGGCTAAATCATTCTGAAAGCGTGCTAGTGTAATTGTCAGTCGCACTAGTCTCCTGTGATTAAATTGCATCTGCTTTGCTCCTGTCATCAAAGCATTCATGAAGCATCCATTTCTTCAATAATGGGAACTTCATTATTGAAGAAATGGCTGCTCCACGAACGCTTTGATGACAGGAGCAGAGCAGATGCGATTTAACCACAGGAGACAAGCATGACTGGCGATCACACCAGTGCACTTTAGGAACGATTTAGCCACATTTTAACCATGGTAAGCCTCCGTGTGATATTCTTAATAGAAGAGAGCCATCATGATCACTCTTTCCTTCCCCAGTCTTGCCATATCCTCTTGCACCAAGAGACGAAGGAGGTCTCATTGCACCAGGGCAAGTAATTTCAGTTTCCCTACCTACCTTTGCCATGTTCCCATCCGGCATCCCTGCCCATCTACCTTGGTGTTGTCCTAAATCCAATCAGTTTTGATAATCTGAATTTAAAAAGCTATCAGCAATTCCAGAATCCCATTGTTGGTTCTATATGAAGACCATCAGGTCTTTGTTACATTGAAGACAGAGGAACTTGTTTATTCCAAACCCTATCAAGCTTGCAGCAGCAGAACCATTTGTACCTGGACATGTAGTCTGAGCAGAAACATGGATCACCCAGTTATGGACCTCCTTAGTATAAGGAGAGACATTTCGATATAAATGAGAGTAATTATTTGCAGTTCTAAAGTTACTTTTTAATTTATAATCTCTTATTTTTTTATCACCCTAGTTTGGGCTGGACAATATTTTCAGCCCTGAACACATGTATAAACACATATGCTTGTATTTCCCTCTTTCTGTTCCTCACACATACACACACCTACTAGCAGCAAGAAAACAGTAATTGCAGAAATGAGATTAGTAGCAAGAAAATAGAAGTGAAGAAACAATAATGGTGAAATATGGGGAACAACAGTCCACCTGTTCAGCAGGAACATGGGTTTCCTAATAGCTTTGGAGGATACACACAAAGCAGTTGTCCACATTTGTCCCATTCTAGATATAGACTTGGGACCTTTGCAGACTGCCAGAAATAGTGCACATTAAATTGAGGCACTGCCCTAGCTCAGTGCTAGGAAATCATGGGAACTGTAATTTATTGTGGCACCAGAGCTCTCTGACAGAGAAGGCTCAATGTCCCAGAAAAAAATACAATTCCCATGACTCTCTAGCACTGAGCCAGGGCAGTGCCTCAATTTAAAGTGCACTATTTCTGGCAGTCTGCAAAGGCCCTCAGTTTCTGCAAGAAAAGAGCAACAGCTCCATATGTTTACATGCTGCCATTTTCAGGGCTAGTATGCCGTAGATTTGTATTAAATGTTTCTAGCCCTTTGTATCATGGTTATTCCTACAAAGCAATGAAGGAAGAGATAGGAGGATTGCCTATAAAGTGTCTAGGTACCTATACTGGAAGAATAGCACATTACGGAGTCACATGTTGACAATAACTCTTCTTGTTATTTGATGTGTCAATTGAGCTTAGACTTATGAATGAGAGACCTTCATCAGCAGCTTTGCTGAGGGCTGCAACTTCTTTCAGTTTGTCAATCAACCTGTAGTGTGGTCCTTCTCTTTTCCTACTGCCTTCTACTTTTCCCAGCATTATTGTCTCTTCCACCAAACCATGCCATCTCTTAATATGTCCAAAGCAAGGTGGCCTCAATTTGTTTCCAGAGAAACTTCAGGTTTTATTTTACTTTGTATGTCTTCAAGTTGTTTCCGACTTGTGGCAACCCTAAAATGACAGGTTTTTTTGGGGGGGTGGGGGCAAGACTATCTCAGAAAGGGTTTGGCACTCTCCAGCTTTCACAACCGTACATGCAAATCAGAAATATGGCATGCATGGTTCTGACTATGGGGGGTTGCAGACTGCCAGAAATGATGCAAATTGAGTCCACTTTTAGGGTCAGGGTTAGTACTAGGAAATCATGGGAACTGGGTTTTTTTCTGAGACATTGAGCCTTCTCTGTCAGAGAGCTCTGGTGCCACAATAAAATACATTTCCCATGATTCCCTAACCCTAAAAGTGGAGTCAATTTGCACTATTTCTGGCAGTCTGCAACCCCCCTTTGGTATTTAATGTTACCAAATGACAATAGCTCTACAAATATGCAAACCCAAAGAACACAGTCCCATAAATAATAATTTCAAATAGAATGCTTCTTATAACATCGTGAGGGAGGGCTGAGCTTCCTGCTTTATCAACAACCAAGTCAGATTAAAGATTAGGAAAGGGTATGAATGATGCTATGTATTTTATTTCATTTTTGAAAAGAATATGCTATTTATACACTTTGAAACATATGGTCGTCACTGCAGATATGTTTCTGTGGCAGCAAAGTGGTTGTTCCCACAATAGCAGAAAAGCTTTAATTTAACAACAATAACAATATGAAGAGGTATTTTCCCTTCTCATTTCCTTCAATTGTGCACACCTCTCACACCATCTTACAAAGCCAATGAAGTTGTTGCTATGACTAGTAGTTTCCAATATTTCTGATCTGCAAACATATTTGAATTCTTCACAGAGGTATTATTCAAGCCATCTATTTCCATTAACTTAAATAAATAAATTAAAGCAAGGCATAAATATCAGCTGTAAAAAAGCACTGGCTTCCTAGTAATCAGAAGAGAACATTCACATGTCCATAAATCAACAGAACTTTGTTGACCTCAGGGAACTTACACCAAGTACAAATCCATGGGCTGAACCATTTGCAATTCACCCAGAGAGCCTCATATCAGCCAAATACAAGTACTGAAAAATAATTCCTCCATGAGGCCATGCTCAGGAGAAAACAGCCATGTGTGTTTTGTGTGTATGCATGCATGCATGCATGCACATACATGCCTTCAAGTCACCTGTTGACATAGTGACCCCATGAATTTCATAGGGTGACTCGTCTAAAGCAATCCTACCATGCGGCTTTCTTGGCAGAATTTGTTCACAGGAGATTTGCCTTTGACTTCCTCTGAGGCTGAGGAAGCCAGTGCCCAAAGTTTTTATGGCTGAGCAGGGATTTGAACCCTGGTCTCCAGAGTTGTAGTCCAACACTCAAACCACTGCATTACGCTGGCTCCTCACCATGAGCTACTTGGAAGAAAAGTCAGAAATAAATATCATGCCAACTTTATTCCTGAAGATCCTTATTCTTTTCTTTCCATCACCTACAATCATTCTTCCTGTTCACAGTAATCCTCTTGTATACCAAAGATAATATATTCAAATTGTATCTAATACAGGTTATTTAAATAAAGCTCACAAGTGCTGTGCTTTGAAGATTACATTCCTATCCATCTCTTCCCAACAGAAATCCATCAACCACTTGGTGTTATTAGCAAGTTCATGGGTTCAAATGGTAAAACCCATCTGATATGGTATGTACTTTTGAGGAGACTTTTCTTGTTTGGATTATATTTGCCATAATAGTCGCACAGTTTTTGGGAAGTTGACCTCACAGCAGACATAAATGCTTCATATCAAGTTCAAACCCACAACAAATCATGGAGGGGAAATTTTGATTGAAATCTAACCCACAGTGTGCTTGTTTGACCATTTAAAAACCTTAAATAGGTTGTATACACCTTGCAGTATGAATATATTTGTAGAAGCACTTCAAAAGTCTTCATTAAACTCTCCCTTGCTGTGAAAACCTAGGACCAGTAATGCTGATGACAGTTTTTTTGTACACAGCAGGCTTCATCTTTTTGTGTTTTAGTAGAGAAAGGTGTCTCATTGTTCAGGAACTCTCACATTAATAGACTTTCAAGGCAAATGGCTTTTTTATTCCTTTCACTAATATGAAAAAGTGGTCCAAGGCTCATATATATACAATGTCAAACCTCTCTTTTGGACAGGAAGCACAAATGAAAGCCTTTCTGCACTCTGAATCCTGAGGCATATGCTTAAAGAGAACTGAATAGTGAAATGGAAAACAGCACGCTCTGAAAAGCAATGAAAGCAAAGGGGTCTTTATATCAATTTGTATCCAGGGCAAATCATCTAGGATTCCATGGGGAAATCCACTGCCTTATTTATTCATAACAACCAGGGTGGTGATGATATTATCCGTCCTAATTTTCCTCTTGTCCATATTTTAATTCTTTATCTTGGATTGGAAATGCAGCAGGGATGGAAGAAGTGAACTTCCCCAGCCCTCCTTCCTATGGCAGCCCCACCCAGCCCCTAAAAAATGCTGCAAAGAGAGTATATGTTTGCATGTGAAGTAGACCCTATTGAATGAGGTGATCTGTGTGTAGAGAAGGAAGTCACAAAATCAAGCAGAGACATCTGCAGTGAAGGAAGCCTTTTCCTTCAAAAATGCAAATCCTATTCAAGCCACAAGGCTACTGGGCTAGAAAAAATGCAGACCCATCTTTTGGATGTATTGGCAGAAGGGAGGGGTTTTTGGGCTTCTACAGAGCCAAAGCCACCTCCAGTTTGCCCTTCTGTATTGTTGTCAACTGCCATGAAGTTAACTTCATTTTATGGCAACCCTACAAATGAGAGACCTCCAAGTCACCCTGTCATCAACAGCTCTGCTTAGGTCTTACAGACTCAGAGCCATAACTTCCTTGATTGTGTCTATCCATCTGGAATGTGGTCGTCCTCCTTTCCTATTGTTGTTGTTGTTGTTGTTGCATGCCTTCAAGTCCTTTCCGACTTATGGTGATCCTAAGGCAAACCTATCAAAGGGTTTTCTTGGCAGATTTCTGCAGGGACGTGTTGCCATTGCCATCCTCTGGGGCTGAGTATGTGTGACTTGCCTAAGGTCACCCAGTGGGTCTCCATAGCTGAGCTGGGATTCAAAACCTGGTGTCCCAGTGCCTTAGTCCTATGCCCAAACCATTACACCATGCTGGCCTTCATTTAATTTAATTCCTATTGCATTCTACCTTAACAAGCATTTTTGTCTTTTCTAGTGAGTCATGTTTTCTCATGATATGTCCAAAATCCAACAGTTTCAGTTTATTCATATTGGCTTCTAGAAAGAGGTCAGGCTTAATTTACTCTAGAACCCATTTATTAGTTTTTTTTAGTAGTCCTCATTATCTGTAGAACACTCCTCCAGCATTTTAATATAGAGGATGGAAGTCAAAATGTTCCAGCACCTTGTGCTCACATATGACATAAAAGCCAGCCTATGTCCAATTTGCCATATCAGTGGCTAACCATATATACCATCCAACAGTCCTGTCTTCTGCTACTTAGATTAGGTCAGGATAACAAGAACAACAAAAAATGCTTAGCATTTGACCAGAAAAGTGAAGAAGGGGCAGCACAGCATGATCTTTCCTGTCTTTTACTTTCCATCAAATTGTCATAATATCATGTTATAAGACAGAGAAATAGCTCATACGGATTATCAATTATTTCTTCTGTGGGGTAGATAGCAAATTCATACTCAGCACACATTCATCAGCAGCTAGTGATGACAAACTGATTACTGGCATATCTGAAAACACTCATCACAGCTCAAACCCACCCCCACCAAACTTTGAGTGTTCTTTGTTGTTCTGTGCCTTCAAGTTATTTCAGACTTATGGTGACCCCAAGGCAAATCTGTCATGGGATTTTCTTGGCACAATTTGTTCAGATTAGGTTTGCCGTTGCTTTTCTCTGAGCTTGAGAGAATGTGACTTGCCCAAGGTCACCCAGTGGGTCTCCATGGCTGAGCAGAGATTCAAACTCTGGTCACCCAGAATTCTCGTCCAACACTCAAACCACTACATCACTTTGCCTTTTCATATCAGTATTGTACAGCACATCAAATACAATTCATTTTCAATGGAGACAGGTTCTACAGGAGGGATAGACAACTTCTGGTCCTTCAGATCTTGTTGGACTGCACCTGCCATCATTCCTCACCATAAAATATGCTGACTATGCATGGAAGTTCAGCAATGTCTGGAGGGCTGCAATGTGTCCCTTCCTGTTCTACTGTGACAGTGGATGATGGACACATATGAGAATTTCTTGTTAACTCTAGGTGGAGGCACCAAGCTGTTCACTACCCTGAACTATTTTTTTCATGTAATATATAGAGCCTGTGTGGCTTAGTGTTGAACTATGACTCTGGAGACCAGGGTTCAATTCCCCACTTGGCCATGAAACCCACTGGGTGGCCTTGGGCAAGTCACACTCTATCATCCTCAGAAGAAGGTACGAACAAACTTCTGAACAAATCTTGCCAAGAAAACTCCATGATAGGTTCCCCTTAAGGTTTCCATAAGTCAGAAATGACTTGAAGGCACACAACAATACATAACAAAAGTACAGTACCAACAAAGTAAAATTTCTTTGTCATTATTGCAGAATTTTTCTTTTTAAAAAAGACAAGTGCAGAGAGGTAGAGGATAGGGGGGCTTGGAGACATCTCATTCACAGGGTCACCATGAGTCAAGGTCAACACAAATTGTGTGGATAGAAGTAGACTCTTTCTGTCTTTCCTTTTTCTTCCATGCATGTTGAAATGCTACCAATTTCCATTACAAATATGAAAGACCATTGAAAGCAAAATCTTAACACCTCTGGGACTCTGGAGGTGTGTGGGTTTGGGAAAATAGTTTGTGCATGCTGGCATATGTCCCATGAGATGTGAAACATTCAGAGGAAGATAAACAGTGACAATAAAATACTCCTCACCTTTCAGAAGTTTCTATCTGATTTTGTCTTCCTTGCCCCTAAATGCACTGTGAAATCAGTAAGTTATCCACTCATCTTTGTTGATATATTTATTGGACCATGCTGAGCAAAAGTCTAGCCACAAATGTATGTCCAGTTAGACAAAATCAATGTGCTTCTTCTACAGGTGCTACTTTTGCTTACTGAATTACTAGTTCAGAATTTCTCCTGAGACATTCCAATACCTTCTGTTTCGAATATAGGAACTGGTATCTGCAACAAAATGTTGCAATCTAGAAGTCTTCCTATTTTGCATTCCCAACAGCCATGCCCTACTCCAGGATACTACATTTCATTTTCCTTCCACCTGGTTTTATGTTCTTCAGAATTCCTTGCCCACCCCAACACTCAGAATTTGTTGCACATCAAGGTCTGTCTGCTCTGGTTTCCCCACCAAAATTATTTTTTACTACTTAAAAGAAACCCAAGTCTACTGAGAAGTCTATCTTGTGTGTAGGTAGACTGTTATATAGAAGATGTAATCCCAATTATTACTACTACATCAAAGATAACACTTCTGAAATGATTTGACCAATCTGTTACCCATTTGACCTGGGTCAGCTCTACTCTGCTTTAGTAATATCCTCTTGCCATGTTGTTTCCACAAATTCCCCCAACAATCTGGGACAAATACTCTTAAGTTTAATTTAGAGCTCAAAGAGTTTGTGGTATGTACCAGACTTCAAAATAGTCCATTCTAGGAAATATTTGTATATCCTTAAAACAGTGGCTGAACATTTTAAGGGATTATCCATGTAAACATACCCTGTAAATAAAACTTGAGTCAAATTCTTCTGGACTTTCAGATAAATTATCTTCTTATGTATGTATAAAATTCTCTTGGTGGCGTCACAAAGGTGGAAAGCTACAGATACAAGAATGAGGGCAAATAACAAACGCAGACTGAAATACGGCGTGTTAATGAATAAGGATTCTCTTAAGATTTGCAGGCAGTATCTGCCACTCCAAGTCACAGGGAGCCTATATTCATGGAAGCAGAGTCAGGAAAGAAACCCAAGAACAATGGTCTGGACTCTGGGATAATCAGGGTTCAGCAGCTCAAAGGTCTATTCTAGCCTGTACAGACCAGCCAAAAGGGCCGACTGGGGGTGAAGTTGGGGCGTGGTGGCCACCCACCGCCCTGACTCCACCCCAATGCCACCATCATGCTGCATGCCCCACCACGCAGTGCATGGTGTCAGGGCAATCTCTTGACGCAGCATACAGACACACTGCGCCAAAGGACTGCATAAGAGCCGCAGTGGTGGTGGTAAGGGTGGCTTTTTGCTGCTCCAAAAAGGAGCAGCATTTGCCAGCTCTTTTTGAATCGGCAAAGTGCTGGATTGGGGCTGTTGCATGTGGTTGCCGCGGCCCTGATCTGGCTCTCCCAGGG